ATAGGAGGCACTTCTGCAGGTGAATAAATCAAAACAAAATAATGTGTAATGAAAATATGCCTAAAGTACTGTGGAGACACTGAGGAGGATATGATTATTGCTAACCAGTGGGAGACAATGCTAGATGCCTAATTTTGTCAGTGGAGGGTTAACCGTGTGTTGCCTCCTTTTCAGCCTTCTCATGATACCTTAATGCTGAGGTGATTTTTTTTTTTTTTTAGTGGACAAATAAGCAATTCTTTAGATGGGAGTAAATAGGTACTGAGTAATTATATGGTCCCCGAGGTCTCCATTTGCTTTCAGCTGGGCATAACACTTCTAAAAAGCCTCTGCTGGTGGACCAGTGAAGATAAAGTTAAAGCTAATTATCAGAGAGAAACTGGAAACTATGTGGGCAGGGTCACTGAGAGTAGGAGCATGGACTTTTTCATCTTTCATGCTCGACCCCTACCATGGAAGATGGTTGTTGAATTTACGTCCATGTACACATACATATTCACTTTTCTGATGAATACTTCATAAAACATGAGGTCATTTGTAATAATATCTTTCAAGCAGACCTTTCAGGAGGAATTTCACTGCTCTTTGACTGTCGCAAATCAAATAAATCTCTCACAGGGACCTCAGAGCCTCACTTACAGACTAGAGTCAAAGTTCAGAACAGAGGGTCGGTTGAATCTAGGGCATTAGGGAAGGAGATAAAAACACTCCAAAAAGGAAAGCCTTGTTCAGAGACCTCATGTGGGCACAAAAGGTGGGAGATTATTTATTATAATGATTTATTCAACCACAAGGGAAAACATGAGTTAGAATGACATTATTTTCATCACATCTTTTCCCTGAGGAGTTCGAGAGACTTATGTAACGGACAGCAATCTCTTTAAATTATTTTGCTTTGTTCCTAACCCCTAGCAGATATTAGTAATAAGGAATTCCTAAAGATGACCAACTTACTCTCTTCTCACAAATTACCCTCCCACCGATCATCTGAACTCATGAATACTTAAGGAGCAGTTTATATAATTTGTTCCTCACCATCATAGTTCTCTACTCATTTCTCATCAGGCTAGTCTCCTTATTTAACCTCTTAATGGTCCTATCATTTTTGTGGAAGAAACCCTTCTTTCCTTCCTCATTACTTTCTCAACTTGAAAGAATCATTTAAGCACAATACAAAGAATCTGGTGTGACAGGAAGGGGCAGAATTCTTGCTCTGCTTTTGTTACCAGCTGAGAGCATGAACTTGGAATATTGTTTTACCTCCTGGATTTCAGTTTCCTTGTTTACCAGTAACAAAGGAAACACCAAATAACATGTAATATTTAAGGCATGTTTTTGTTAAAACAAAAATATGATATTATTGTCATTATTAACATGAGTGGCACAAAATTACAATGTGTTGTGTGAAAGACACTACAAAGTCGTGAAGGAGGCAACCTTCTCATACCTGTAAGGTCTCTTATATGTGTCAGCATTTATACACACACATATATTTAATAATATGTATTCATTGTGCACATGTATATAAATGTGCCTATTTTTCTAACAGTGGTTTTTTTTGGTCTATTTATTTATTTGTTTTGAGAGAGAGAGGGAGAGAGAACAAGCTGAGGGAGGTTTGGAGAGAGAGGGAGGGAGAGAATCTAAAGCAGGCTCTGAGGTGTCAGCACATAGCCCAACACTGGTGTCCATTTGGGAACCATGAGATCATGACCTGAGCTGAAATCAAGAGTCGGATGCTTAACCAACTGAGCCACCCAGGTGTCCCAAGTGTGCCTATTTGTTTTAAACATATCAGTAACAGCATGCTTTCAGTGTATATTATTATTGTTCTAACATTCTAGATTATACTATTTCTTTTTTTTAATGTTTATTATTTATTTTGAGATGAGAGAGAGGGAGAGCAGGGGAGGGGCAGAGAGAGAGGGAGACACAGAATCCCAAGCAGGCTCCAGGCCCTGAGCTGTCAGGGCTTAACCCCCGAACCACAAGATCATGACCTGAGTTGAAATCGGATGCTCAACCAACTGATGCCACCCAGGCACCCCTATACTACTTCTTGTAAACAACAGAGGAGTGGAAAAAATATAAGGAGACCTGCATTAAATGTTCCTGCATTTGTGATTTTGGACATGTCATACAGACTCAGTGGGCCTTAGTTTCATCTCCAAAAAGAAGAAATTAGGGGGAAAAATCCCAGTGAGGTCTATAATTATATAATGTTCACATTAATAAAGACGGGAAAGATATTACTGTAGCATCACAAATTAAACCCCAAATCATGTGGCTTAAACTATCAAAAGTTTGTCCCATGAAAAGCCTGATTGCAAGCTGGGAGGCTGTTAATGATGACTGTCCCCCATATGGTGTTCCAGCCAACCAAACTGTTTGGAACTTGTCTCTCTACTATCTTGACATGAGGACCTCACTTTCACCAGGGCAGGGGGGCCCTATCTCAGGCCTCGTTGCCTCTGCTGCTCACAGCTCCTTGTCCAGAATGAGAATCATGGCCTTATCTAACTGAAACTTAGCTAGCCAGATAGGGAGCTATTATCACACCCTCGAAAGATAAGTAGAAAATGGAATTTGGTGGACCCATAATGTCATCTGTGCCATGGTGCTAAATCAGAATAGAGCAGGGGGTGCATCTAGTTCAACAGTTTCTCCTGTCTCATCTTTAACATCATGGCGTTCAGAACATGATTGTCCCTTAGTACCTTCTGAAAGAGCAGGAGATTGTTCTTCTTTACCAAATGGCCTTTGACATTGAGGGGTGATTCTTAGAGTTCTCTTGGTCTTTTAACAATTTCCCAACTTCACGTGTCTCAAGTTGAATGATAAGAAATTTGCACTCCTTCTACTGAGTGCTTTTCTGGTTGGAAGGACCAACGTGGACTTACATGATACATGTGCTGAAACCTGGAGGGCTCTTGGGATATCCTTTGGAATGAGAAATACAGATGGAAATGCAGAGAAAGAGCTAAAAGAGATTAGTCTTTTTTTTTTTTTTTTCCTAACAAGAACTCTCAGGTTGGTTCAGAAGGGTTTGGTGTCATATGACTTTCTCTGTTTTGGGGAGTTTTTTGGAGGGAGGCAAGTAAAAAGTCTTAGAGAGGTGAGAGACAGAAGAAAATTATGAAAAATCAGACATGAGAGCATAGAAATCAATTCAGACAGAGCTTGGGGGTTGTACTCAATAGGCAATATCAGCTTTTTCATTTGCTCTTTCTCTTTATCAAAGTAAGAAGAATTTTGCCTTGATTGAATGATTTCCACAGAGGTGCTTGGGTGTTTTACGCTGTAGAGTAGATGATGACAGATAACACTCTCAGGTCAAGGCCTTTGGGATGGCAATATGCATAGAAGAATTTTTCCAGGGAGATTTGCTTCTGCCCACTAATTGTGGTCGTATAATTTATGGCTCTGGGAATACCATGGCTACTAGTATGTGTCTCAGTGCTGCAAGAGGCAGTGATTGTGTCTAATTCAGTGAAAGCTGTAGTTGTGTGGACTTCCCAGGCAGCTTCTGAAGCTACTATTGATAAAATCACTAATGACATTAATTTGCACATTCAATCATGTGTTTCCTTGCCTTGACCTGCATAATCTGTTTACAGTTGCCACTGTTGACAATCTCTACTCTCTAAAAGTCTCTTTAATTTTTAGGCCCTACTTTTTACATTTATCCTTTTATCTGGCTACTACTTTTCCTTGGCATCATCAGTAAACACTTCTTCTGCCAACTCTTTAAATATTAAACATTATCTGAAATTTTATCCCTGGTCCTTCTTGCTTCTCATTCAACATGCAATCCTTAGGGAGATCTTATCTACAGTAATGGGCTTCAGCCACCACCTTGAAGATAAACTCTGGGTTAATTCAACCACCCAGGACTGCATTCACTAGAGAAAATAACAAAAAGAAGCAGTTAGTGCTACTCTACATTGATGGTCTCCAGACTGACCCAGGCTCTCAACACTGCCTGCCTGCCTATTTTCTGTAGACACTGCCCTCTCTTAATCTCCACCAGAGCAATCTTAGATCTTCTTTATCTGTTGACAGATGACCTCACAGCTTACTTCACAGATTTGGAATAGAAACCATTGGCCAGAATGATTATCAAGAAGAAGAGGCTGGTCAATGATATTAAATGTTGCAGAGAGGACGGTAAGGTAAGGAAGAAGTCAACTGTGGGTTTAGAAATAAAGCTATTGTTGGCTATTAAGATTTTCCACAGAGAAGTTAAGAAAAATGACATTGCAGAGGCACCCAGGGTGGCTCAATCGGTTGACTGTCTAACTTCGGCTCAGGTCGTGATCTCCTGGTTTGTGATTTTGAGCTCCACATTGGGCTCAGGCTCGCTGCTGTCAGCCTGTCAGTGCAGAGCTGCATGGGATCCTCTGTCCCCCTCTCTGTGCCCCTTCCCCACTTACACTCTCCCCAAAATAAAATTTTTTAAAGAGCAATCACATTGCAGTGGGTTATCAAACCTGACAGGGATCATGGAAGGGGCCATGATGTTCCCCCAATCTTTTTAACTAAAATCTTACCATGAAGAGAAAGAAGGAGAGGGAAATAGTTGAGGAGGGGGGAGGTCATATGGAATTGAGAGAAGGTATTTAAGAGATTGAGAAAATTGGCATGTTTTAATCCTGATAGGAAACGGGGCAGTAGAGACAAGAGTTTGAAAACTCTAGAAAGCTTCTCTTGGTTTTTCTTCTGCTTGTCTGCCTGTGTATTCTTGGTCAGGGACATATGCCCTCATTACCAGCTGAGGTGACTGGTTGTATAATAGTGCTGTTCACTAAATTGCAGCAGTCAGTGTTTTTCAGACTCTATGGTAAAGGATTCGTGTTTTAAAACATTTTTTTATTCATTGTATACTTTTTAAAATACAGTAAAAATGAATTACTAGAAGCAGGCTCATGTGGTTTGATATTGCAGCATTGTCAGGTTGCTGTGAAAGTTTCCAAATGCTTGCTTTCAGTTTCTGTACTTACTTCATGGACCAGTTCAAATAATCCCCAGACCGTCACTGGTCCATGGCCCATGCTTTCAGTAGTGCTGACCTACAGAACATATATCCCTACAGGGATTAGCAATGTGGAGGATGGTGATAAATTTCATTTTGGACATGGTAATTGGGCAGAGCACAAGATAGATGCTTTAGAGAAAAGTTAAAGAACCCATAAAATAACATGTTGTCCATCAGTTGTGGAATGGAAAACGAAAATGTGGTATATCTGTATCATGGTAAACTCTTCAGGAGCGAAGACTGAGAGCAATAAAGCTAAGTGTCTCAATGTTGACAGAGCTCTGAGACATGTTATTAAGTCACGAAAAAATAAGGCATAATAGGACTTAAAATTACATAAAATTATAAGATACATTGAAAAACTCTAGGAGGATATACATCTGTGAACAGTAGTTATTTTTAGGGAAGACGATAGGGTTAATGGGGAGTACAACAGGTTAGATCCACATGTTACTTTTTAAAGTTAACTTCTGTATTGTTTTTTCATAGATTTTTAAAATAGTATTCATGTGTTATTTAGGTAGTTTAAAATGGTAATTATGGAGTTTTTATATATAATGCAATACATTGTTTTTTTAAAAAATGGAAATTTTGGTTTGTAGTGATTATTTAACTGAAGGAGGCAATTTCACATAGCCAGGTGGTCTTGAGCACATAATCTGTCTGAACTCACTGTGCTTATCTGTAAAATGGAGCTGATATCCCTTCCCTCCTGAAACTGCTATAAAGGTTGACAGATAAAATATATAGAAAGGTTCTTGCAAAACAGATGCCCTATAAACATGGGTTCTTGTTCCCTTCACTGGAAAAAAGTGGGCATTTAAAAAAACTCAGTGTTTAAAAATTTTACTTTCTGGAAATCTTCAGTGTTGAATGAACAAGACATCCAGATATACTTATATTTTTTTTTTTTCCTCAGAATCCTGGGACGTCCTTTGAGAGTACTCACACCAGGTAATCAATTAGGCAAATATTTTTATCCCTTCCCCCCAACTTGTTCAATTAGAAATACACTGAAATATTTTCTCCTTGACCTGTGGTATTGAGAAGAGAAAGAACTTGACAGAAAGACGGAGTTTTTTTAAGTTCTTTCTGAATGATAATGGGAGAAATATATGGTGTGTGGAGAGGCAGGGAGCATCCCACATAATGTATCATATGCAGAACGTGCAACAGAGAATTCAATACTGTGCTTCTAAAACCTCGATAGTGCTTCCTGTAAGTGATATTTTTGTGGCCTTTTCTTTGCCCAGATATTTGTCATTCCGGAGTTGATTTAGAAAGAGATTCATGGAAAGTCATAATTATTTAAAGAAGGGAACAGGCAAAGTGTTCTTTTGCCATGTCTATAAATCTTTCCTTATGCCCTGCTGAGAACTCTGCTCTAGCTGTCTGATTTAACCGTGTAACTGGAGTATATCATAATGTCGCGAGTTGTCAGACCCCCAGAACTCTTCATAATGTGAGATCACAAGCAGAGACAATTTCATTGTAACATTTCTGACTACAAAGTATAAATACCATTCTGTTGGCACATTGGCATCACATCAGCGATTTTTTTTCTTCCTTCTACTTTAAGTTTGTTGAGGTATTTACATCTATAACGTTAGACAAAGCTAGGATAAGAAAATTAAAATTAATAATCGAATGGCAATGTCAGGATAAAAATACATACTTTGAAGGGAAACATAAAAAAGAGAATTTAAAATAAAGATTACAAAGATATTGGAAAAAATGGTGTCTATCCTGTCACCATTAGTTCGTTAGTTTTCTCCAGACACAAAAACATTGCTCAGAACAATTTAAAAATAGTATATATTTAAAAAATCACTCAAACACGAGATTTAAAAATCTCATTGTGAGCCTTGAGAGAACATTTCTTTCACCTGATGAAGTTACCAACTGAGTATGTCACAGATTCTTCCCGTGTGTTCATTTGCCTTACTGGGTAGTGCAAGGGCTCCCTGAACAGCCACTGATTTAAAATGGAAAATAAATTTTAATGCTTGCATAAACTCTGATATGAAAAATGAGTTTACAGATATCTCTTATTTTAGTGTGATTATGAATTTCTAGTACTTTTTTTTTTGCTATGTAAAAACCATTATACTTCCAGGTTGACCTTAACTTCTTTTTTAGTGATTCACAAACAACATCCTACTTTTCCCCTTCAGAATTAATATTACCTGATTGTCACTAAGGAGGGAGATTGTTAGGAGATATGTACATGAATATAAATGTTGTGCTCAGAAAGGAGATACTATTCTCTTGTTCTGTTACGTTGGGAACTTTCTTTCCTCCCTGGAAACCAAACATGCTTCCTAAACTCTACAGTGCAGTCTCTCCCGCCCATGGTGTGTTGGAAGTCTGAACTCCATGTCTGTGGTTCATGCCTGGACAATTCATTTGGGCCCCCAAATGTCAAAACAAATCTCATTTTTTAAATTATTATTATTATTTTAGTTTTACATTTTATTTATTTATAAGTATTTTATTATTTGTTTCTTTGTTTTTGAGAGGGAGAGAGAGAGCATGAGCAGGGAGGGGCAGAGAGAGAGGGAGAGAAAGAGAATCCAAACCAGGCTCTTCAGAGCCTGATTCAGGGCTTGAAACTTCAAACTGTGAGATCATGATCTGAGCAGTACTTAACGGACTGAGCCAAACAGGCACCCTTATGTTTTATTTTTAAGTAATCTCTGGACCTACAGTGTGGGGCTTGAACATATAACCTGGAGATCAATAGTCACATGCTTTACCACTGAGCCAACCAGATGCCCCTATTTTTTATTTACATATTTAATTCCAGCATAGTTAGTATACAATGTTATATTAGTTTCCTATGTTCAGTGATTCAACAATTCTATACATTAATAAGTGATCATCATGATAAGTGTACTCCATCCCATTCACCTACTATACCCATTTCCCCAACCCCTTCTCCTCTGGTAACCATTGGTTTGTTCTCTATAGTTAAGAGTCTGGTTTTGTTTTGTTTTTGTTTTATTTTTGGTTTTCTCTTTTTTCTTTGTTCATTTGGTTTTTTTCCCTTAAATTCTACATATGAGTGAAATCATATGTGATTTGTCTTTCTGTGACTGATTTATTTTACTTAGCATTATATACTCCATATCCATCCATGGTGTTGCAAATGGCAAGATTTCATTCTTTTTAATGGCTGGGTAATAACCCATTTTATCAATATACCATATATTCTTTATCCATTTATCTATGAATAGATACTTGGGCTGCTTCCATAATTTGGCTACTGTAAATAATGCAATAAGCATAGGGGTGCTTGTATCTTTTAGAATTAGTATTTTCATTTTCTTTGGGTAAATATCCAGTGGTGGAATTACCGGATCATATGATAGCTCTATTTTTAATTTTTTGAGGAACTACCATTTGTTTTCCACAGTGGCTTCACCAGTTTGCATTCCCACCAACAGTGCACAAGGGTTCCTTTTTCTCCACACCCTCATCAACATCCTCTTGTTTCTTGTGTTTTTGAATTTAGCCATCTGACAGGAGTGAAGTAATATCTCATAGTGGTTTTCATTTGTATTTCTCTGTTGCTGAGTGATGTTGAGCATCTTTCCTTGTGTCTGGTGGCCATCTGGATGTCTTCTTTGGAGAAATGTCTGTTCATGTCTTTGGCCCATTTTTTAATCAGGTTATGGGGGGGGATTGATATTGAGTTGTATAAGTTCTTTATATATTCTGGATACTAACACTTTATCTCACATGTCATTTGCAAATATCTCCCATTCAGTAGATTGTCTTTTAGTTTTGTTGATTGTTTTCTTTGCTGTGCAGGAGCTTTTCGGTTAGTTTTGCTTTTGTTTCCCCTGCTGTAGGAGACATATCCAGAAAAATGTTGCTATGGCCAATGCCAGAGAAATTACTGCCTATTCTCTCTTCTAGGACTTTTAGGGTCTCAGGTCTCACATTTAGGTCTTTAATCCATTTTGAGTTTACTTTTGTGGGTGGTGTAAGAAAGGGCCCAGGTTTATTCTTTGATATCTGGCTGTCCAATTTTTCCAAGACCGTGTATTAAAGAAACTTCCTTTTCCCCATTGCATATTCTTGCTTCCTTTGTTGAAGATTAATTGGCCATATAATTGTGGATTTATTTCTGGCTTCTCTAATTGGCTCCATTGAAGTACGTGTCTATTTCTGTGCCAGTACCATACTGTTTTGATTACTACAGCTTTGAGTATATCTTGATATGTAGGATTGTGATGCCTCCTGTTTTATACTCCTTTTTTAATATTGCTTTGGCTATTTGGGATCTTTTGTGGTTCCATACACATTTTAAGATTCTTTCTTCTAGTTCTATGAAAAATGCTGTTGGTATTTTGATGGGGATTGTATTAAATCTGTAGGTTGCTTTGGGTAGTATGGACATTTTAACAATATTTATTCGTCCAATCCATGAGTATGGAATATTTTTCAGTTTATTTCTGTTGTCTTCAATTTCTATCATCAATGTTTTATAGTTTTCAGAGTATAGGATTTTCACCTCCTTGGTTAAGTTTATTTAGGTCTTTTATTATTTTTGGTGCAACTGTAGTAACTGTAAATGAGATTGTTTTCATTCTTTTTTTTTTTAGTTTTTATTTATTTTGAGATAGAGAGAGATAGAGTACGAGTGGAGGAGGTAAAGAGAGAAGGAGAGAGAGAATCCTAAGCAGGCTCTGTACGACCAACATGGAGCCCAACATGAGGCTCAATATCACAAAGTGTGAGATCATGACCTGGGTCGAAACCAAGAGTCAGACACTTAATCAAATGAGCCAATCAGGCACCCCAATGGGATTGTTTTCTTAATTTTTCTTTCTTCTAAGCAAATCTTACTTTAAATGCTTGGAGAGGAATACATTTTCAATAGACATAGGACAAGAACTTTGGTTGGTAAATGAAAACATCCTTCAGTAAGGTGAAAATCAGACCTTAATATATATTTTTGATGATTTGACTTTTTACATAGTTTATTTAGGGCAGAGTCCACCATTATCT